CTGTAATTGCGCGTCATAACAGCAAACACAGAGACAAAGTAGGTTTCTTTTAAAAGAGTAGGTACTTCTCAAGAATAAGGAATACTGAGGTAACCTTGATGTAAACATAAAATAAAGTGTTAAAGCATTTTGCCTTGCGTATGAACTAAGTGAAATCCTTGCTCGTGTTCCTTTTCTTCCCCTTTTCCGCGCTAGCTCTTTAAAAATTCCACACGCGTTGTAGTAAGGACTGGTTTACACTACCGTAAAATCATGCGCTCACTCGAAGATTCGTTGACCCTCCGTTCCATCCGTTCCATCCGTTCCACTGAACAAAAGTAATTGAGAGAATGAGACTGCTGTCCTGGTCCAGATTGTTTATTTGAGCATCGCAGCGGAAAACCCATTCGCTTGTCATTCTTTTTTCCTCTGTTTTCTGGTTTTTTAAAACAATGAAGTTTTCAGAACTGTTAATATTTAGCGCTATTAAACTAGAACACCGCTTTAGAAACGGTATGCGGGCCGTAGCTTGTGATGAAGTAAAAAAACAAGAAAACTTGCTCCATCTTTCGACTGGATTGACTCACTGTCCGGTGACCACTACAGTAGCGTAGTGGTCAAAAGACAACAAACTTATTCTTCTTTTTCTCGTCACAATGTTCCCACCAATAGCGCCGCTACATTTTCTCCACCTAAACACACATGCAACCCACAATTCCTTTATTAGCTCGGATGAAGGGCTAACGCTCGAATGTCAGCTTAGAAACTCTTTCCCAAAGCCAATTTACCTTATCAATTTTCTTAATCAACTTAATTGATAACACCAATCATAAAAATTACAATTTACTTGTGATTGGTTTACAAAACTCGTATTCTCCACCAATTTACTTGCCAAGTTGTTATCGGACAGTTTATTTTCGGGCAGTTTTTGTCGGACAGTTCGTTATCGGACCGTTTAATGAACTAATCACAATCAGGTTGTAATTTAAATCAACCAATCACATTCAAACCTGAAGTTTAAATCAACCAATCACAACCTTGGTTTCTTTTAATGCAAATTGTCCCTTTTTTCAAAACTTGGCTATTCTTCTTTGCTTGGAGATTGTGATTTTCACAATAAATTGGTTATTAGACTGCATGTCTTCCAATTCGGTCCTTAATCATTCTTGTAATAAACAAATCAGACTCCCGCTGGGCAGTCGTCCGATTTTATCATCACTCGTATGATTACAGACCGAATTGAGCTTTCTGCGGACTTCCGTCCCTGTTATGAAATATTGATCAATGGTAATCAACCCGACGCGTTTTACATATGGCTTCGAAAATGAACTTTGATAAAAGAGGAACGGACCTGGGAGATTGCTTGCCCTCAGGTTTGTTTACCAATTTAAGATTGGACATAAACCCGGAGGAAAATATGCAAAAGCTGTGGAAGAGTCAGGCAGGTGTATAATAATCTATTATCGTTTCGTTTGTCTTATTGTTTTTTAGAAGGCTGAAACAATCCTATCATCATTTCAGTTTCAAATAGAGTAGATAGTGGGAGCGTAAAAATGGCAGTGTCACATCTAAAGACGCTTCCAGCAGATCTTAGAACGTCACACTGACAGATTCACAGCTTAATTTCCTTCTGGTTGTTCGTCGTTCTAATGGCGCCGTGTCCAAGAGCAAATTACACAATGCACGAAATATTTGGGTTCAAAATCCCTGCATCATTTTCTCACGTTTCAATTGAAAAAGTTACGTAAGTATTCCACCTTCACAAAAGAATCTGTCTGAACAGGAAAACACTTAGACGAAAACTTCCACTCTCGTTCATAGTTATTAAAATATAATGAATTCTTTTCTTATGCCGGGATTAATGAGGATTAAATCTGGGGAATAAAATTTCACTGTTTTGGGAACAAACTGAACATGAATGGTTTTATTAGGCCTTGTGGTCCATGGAAATTTGTAAACAATAGTCTCTTATACATCCGTTGCTTAAATCGAGCACCACGAATCTAGAGAAAACCTTGTAGCAAGTGTCGAAAGGTCTCGAAATTTGCGACATGCTTTTCCCTTTCCCTTGCGACAATCAACTCATTTCGCGTGGCACAACACAAGAGGGGGGCAACAGACCATGAAAGAGCGGCTGAATGTCATTGTTTCCAAACTGACAAATTTTTATACCGGTTTTATTTTTGGCCGTGAAAGCAGACTCACGCCCCTTGCTGCACCACCCGTAATATTTTTCAACCGAAACCAACCGGTGCATCACTCAGACAATTAAAAAAAACCCTCTTAAAAGTGGGGTTCAGGAAGTTTTGTATGAAACCCCTCTAGCAGATCATTCACATTTATTCTTAGGTGTTCCGCGTGTGTTATGGGGAAATTTCCCTCGAAAGTGAAAGAGCTGATAT